TTTTATTGTAGAGAGGTGTCCCCAGTTGCCCAGGCCAGAAGAACTCTCCCAGGTGCAGCAAAACAAACCAATGAGCAGGAGAGATGAAAAGAATAAACTTTAATTCAGTTTCATAAAAATACATCCAGGCAACCCCAGGCGCAGTCTGGACCTTCAAGATCAGCAGCCAAGAGCCAGGAAGCCTCAGCATTGAGGGGCCAGACAGATCACAGAGTCCCAGACCAGGGACAGAAAAAGGAGCGGGGCCCACACGCCAGGGCCGGCTTCCAGCCTTCCTCCATATCAGGGTAGAGGCCAGAGCCAGAGCCAGAAGGGAGGGCAGGGACAAGAACCTCTCCCTGCTCCTGGCTCCCTGAAGTTTCTCCTCTGCATGTAAACAGACACCCGTGGGGCTCTCTGTGCTCTGGTCACACTCCCAGGCACCAAGGGTGCCCTCACCAGGCTGCCTGCCCAGCCCCTTCCTTCTGCTCCATCACGGAGCTGCTTCCAAGCCGTGGCCCTCCTCAGTGGGTGCTGACACCAACTGCCAGCTGGAAGGTCCTCGCCACAGCAGGCTGACCTTGGCCCCGGAGAAAGAGGAGCTACCTGAGACAGACCCGGGAAGGCCTGTGTCTTACCTGCGCCTACCACCCACACGTCCCCTCCACTTGCCGCGGGGGCTGCCAGGATCTGCTTTCCCTGGAAGTCTGCTAGGCCCCACGGCCAGTACCAGCCTGTCCTGGGAGAGGATGGCCTGGGAGGTTGTGCATTTGCAGAAATGAAGATCTCAGTACGGGGTCAAGAAGTGACTGGTTTAGCCTGGAGTCTCCCCCAGAACTAGAAGCAGAGCCACCAAGGACTGCAACTACTAAGAGAAGTAGAATTTGAGGAAGGTGGGGTCCCCTCCCTCACACCTGTGAGCAGGGATGTGCCTTGTCAGGGAAGATGGAGGAGTAAGGAATGTGCATTTAGCTTTAATGTCTATTAAATAAGTTGGGAGAAAAACAGGCCACGTGTGAGGACCAGACTCCTGCAAAGGACCTGCCGGCCACCCTCTGCACTCAAGCCGCAGCCCCAGCGTGAACCAGGTGCGTTCCCCTGACAGGTGGGGCTGAGAAGCATAAGATGCCACCTGTTTCCTTTGACATTTGGGCTGGACAGAGGAGAAGCAGCAACTTCAAGCTCCTTATCACCATGCTGTTGGCTTCCCACAGACCAAGTCCTGCATTCGCCCTGTGTTCCCACATGGCGAAAGCCCTCACCCTTTGGTGGTGTCCAGCCAGGGGGTTCAAGGCTGCTGCTCTGCTCAGATGCCTGGCCTGCAGGATGGGCCAGGCAGCACCTCTCAGCGGGGACCCAGGCTTCCTTCTCTTGGGAAGTCACCTCCGGGGAAGACCTCGATCCTTCCTTCCTCAGCGCCGGAGGTCTACATGCTTCATGCAGTGGAAGAGGTTGCAGAAGAGTTCATACCAGAAGAACATGAAGCCCGTGGAGAGGGCAGCCTTCAGCAGGCTGGGGGACAGGCCCTTGAAGAAGCCTGGGGGGCCCTCCTCTCGCAGCACCTGCATGGCACAGTCCAGGAGGCCCCTGTATCTCCGCACCTGGGGAGAGGAAAGTTACTCCAGCTGGGAGAGGAGGCGACTAAAACAGGTGCCACTCTGTTGCTGTGTCAACACAGCACCTGGCACATCACAGGTCCCAATGGACACTTGCTGGATGAAGGAATGAATGCAAAATGAATTAACCTCATCCTTTCTCTTCCAACTGGGCTGAGTGAGAAGTGCCTGGAAATCAGCAGCTGGACAGAGCTCCTTCCTGCCAAGGTGACCCTGCTGACTGGCTCTGAAGGACCCAGCAATGGCGCTGCATCAAAAATTCCTAGAGCCAGGCTCGGTGGCTCACCCTGTAATCCTGCGCCTTTGGGAGGCTGAGGTGAGTGGATTGCCTGAGCCCGCGG